TTTATTAGAAGTAATGTATAAAGTACTCGCCATACTAATTAAAAAACGATTAGAAATATATATAGAAAAGAATCTAGGAGAATACCAGGGAGGATTTCGGAAAGAAAGATCAACAACTGATCAAATTTTTATGCTCAAACAAATCCTGACCAATTGCTATGAATACAACATTTCAGCACAAGTACTTTTCATTGATTACAAAGCTGCCTACGATACAATAGACAGAAACAAGTTAATAGAAACACTAAAAGAATTCCAAGTGCTAGAAAAAATAATAAGATTGGTAAAAATGACAATTAGACAAACAATTTATGCTGTGAGATGCAACGGTACAATCTCAGAAGAATTCGAAGTGAAAAAAGGTGTTCGCCAAGAAGACCCGTTGTCTACATTGCTATTCAATATAGTTCTAGAAAAAATTGTAAGGGTTAGTGGGATAAATAGATCCGGAACTATTTTATACAAGGAGCACCAATGCTTAGCATACGCTGATGATGTGGTTCTCATTACAAGAAATGGAAAAGAACTATCAAATATAACAAAAATATTGATTCGGGAAAGCTCTAAAATGGGACTAAAAATTAATATTAATAAATCAAAATACATGGAGATCTCGAGCAAAAAGGAATAAACACCAGGGAATCCTTTAAATTGGAGGTGGAGGATGGATCAGTTGTAGAATTCGAGAAGGTGGATGAATATATGTACTTAGGTACTCTTATTGATTAGACATGTAAGGAAGAAACTGAAATCAACCTGAGACTGACCAAGAGCAACAGGTGTGCTGGAGCCACGAGCAAAATAATTAAGGCCAAAGATATATCTCGTAATACAAAAATAAGAGTATACAAAACTATAATTAGACCCACAATGCTATACGCTGCCGAGACATGGACTATGAACAAAATCATACAGAATACATTGGAAGCATGGGAAAGAAAAATTCTTCGCAGAATATTTGGTGGAAAAGTAGTAGAGGGAGAATGGAGAAGACGAACAAATGCAGAAGTGTATCATTTGTATGCTAACCCTACAATAACAAAAGTGGTAAAAAAACGTAGACTAGAATGGCTCGGTCATCTAGAAAAAATGCAAGGTGATAGTCTAGTCAAGAATATTGCTTGGAGAGTACCTGAGGGCAAAAAAAAGAGAGGAAGACCAAGAAGGAAATGGAGAGATGTAGTGATGGAAGATGTCAGAGAGATGGGAATCAGAGATTGGAAGCTGTTAACTAAGAATAGAAAACGATGGAAATTATCCATCCAGCAATGGGCCTAAAAGGCCTGTTAACGCATATATACATACATACAGTTAATATAAACTAATAAAATACAATAAATTATACTGAAACGTAAAATACATACACAAAAACTGTAAGTTTTTATATATTCCTATTAATAAATAATAATATTCTTAATACTAACAATATTGGAAATAAGAATGAAAATTATATTAGCAATAAAGAATAAATAAAAAATAAACAATGAAGTTGTCGGCAATTAGTTCAAATGTAAAATAAACTTCTGAGCTGCAGTTTAAAGTTAAGCTTCCTCATATTCTGTTTCAGACGAAGTTTTATCCGATCCGGGATGAATTATTATAGGTTCTATACTGCTATCTATTATATGATCAAGCTCCCACATATTTTTCTCAATATTCATAACGTGATTAATACATTTTTGCCAATGTTTAGTCGTTACTTCGGATATTGATTTATGAAAAAGAATAGTAACATCTGACAATTTAAAAGTTGTATTATTTCGAGCAACGTTACTTTTAACTTCGGCCCATACTAATTCAATTGGATTTAGCTCGCAATGATACGGTGGTAGGCGAAGTATTTCAATTCCTCGTTTTTTGGCTATTTCCTCAATGACATATTTTTTATAAGTTTGTTTATTAATTTTAGCAAGCTCTAATAATTCTGCTTTTGTCATTGTATCGTCAAAGATTAAATTCTTAGAAGTTAACCACATTGCAATTTCATCTTTCCTCCATTGAGTAGTTGGTAAACGTTCAACTAATCTAGAGTGGTAACTTGCATTGTCCATCACAATAACTGAATTTTTAGGTATGAATTCAATCATCTGTTCGAAATATTCTTCAAACACGTCTCCGTTCATCTCTTCGTGATAATCACAGGTCTTTTTTGATTCAAACAAAAGTAAACCCTCCTTAAGAAATCCATTCATACTACCTATATGGGTAACAATTAATCGTCGACCTTTACCTGTTGGTTCCTTGAAACCAGGTGAACATCCTTCCAGAAATGCTTGTCGACATGTTTTTACAGTTTTGTCTTTCCAAACTCTCCCTACAGTATGCCCTTCATTAATCCACGTTTCATCTAAATAATAAATATTCTTATTTTCTGTCCTCATTTTTTTAATTTTTCTGAGGTAGTCTCGTCTCCAACACACAATTTCTTCGGAATCAATAAGCATTGACTGTCTGCCCACTTTTTCATACTTAAAGTTTAACTCATGCAAAACTTTCCAAAGTTTGTCTCTACTTATTGTGGGTAAATCGGGATCGTCGGTAATGGCTTGTAAAACTTTATCTAAAGTTGGTATTTGTTTGTTAAAAAAAAATTAGTGGACCATTCTACGAATTGCATTTTTGAAAAATTCATCCACATTCACTTTCGACAATTTTGGTCTTCCTGGTCTCGGTTTGGGTGGCGTTATACCAGCTGATTTTTCCTCTTTTAAAATGTTATATACAGTTGATTTTGAATAGCCCATTACTTTAGAAGAAATTTCAACTATACTATCAACAGTATTGGAAGGATTGTGTTGCTTAAAATAGTTGTAGACGTTAAGGATAACACTCTTTTCGTTAAGTGATAAATGATTCAACTTTAATTTTTTAACTGGTGTATAATCACACGTTAATTCCATATTCTATAAACTCACTATTCACTCTTTCAAAAAACAACTGTGTCAGATCTCTTCACTCGCTTTAATCGACTAAACAAAAATTTTCTGATATTAATGAATGACTATTTAAAGACCATTAACCATTTTATTAATCATTGGTTTTTCAAACAAAATCGAAATTTATACTATTTAAGATAGCATTCACATTTATCAGAAACCATCTTTCGCTAATCGACTTTTTTATCTAAACTATTAAAAGACCATTAACTAAATACCTATGTATTTTAAGAGTTTCTTTATTTCTTATTATTTAATGGGTCATTATCATAACGACAAAAATAACCATAAATTACGTTACTAAAATAAACAGATTTATATAAATATAATATGCTTTGAAAATGGTTTAAATATCTAAAAAACCGAAACAAATAATGTAATACACTTAAAGTACGTCTATGACCAGCTGAAAAAACCCTAGCCTACACAGTTCTAACAATAGCAGGTATTTAAATTTTACGATAGTCCATGTGAGATGGAAAAATTTCGATCTAAATAGTCAAACCCAACGTAAAATAAGCTAAAATATTGACGTTGTACGAAAAGCACACGTACTAAAATATGCTTAACAATTTAGTTTTTTTTTCTGAGAATTTACTCCAGCTTATTCTTCAAATATACTATAAAAACTGTGAAGATAACGTAACAAATAATATAAAATGCTTAAAGAGGGTCATTGAAAGAAGACAAAAGACGTTTAGTCATAGCAGCAGCTAATGCGGGTAATTTTGATCAGCAGCAGCTTAGTAGAACTTCTGGTCGGTGTCAATGGCGGAAGCGGCTGCTTGGCTACTAAGCGTAGAATAAATTCCCAGCAACGTCCAATCCAGAGTGGGAGGCTGCAAACAGCGATAGTACTTTGTTAGTTAGTAGAGATAGTACTTTGTAATGTTGGAAAAATAAGGGAAAACTACCCAACTAATCCTTCCCCTGGAAATTCATACTGACAATGTTGTGTTATTATGCCAGAAAAAAAAATGAAAAAACAGCCCTCTGTTCCTGGTAGGTGGCCCACTATTCACAAGGTGTGAAGAATCCCTCTGTTTGATATTGCCAAATTAAAAAGTAGAGTTTCTATTTCTATTCTAAAATTAGATAACTCGTTAAAGAAAATAGAAAAATCAAACGTACATATTTTGGGAATATGTGAGATGAGATGTCCTGAAGACTGAGTTTGTCAATAAGAATACAACATTCTAGTATTTGAAATGTATAGACAACAATCCGCAGTATATATATATATATATATATATATATATATATATATATATATACTACGAACAACTGAAAGTAGTTTTGCGACCATTTAAATCTCAGACGATATATATAATAATAGGGAACTCTAAATAAAAAAGAAGGATGAGGAAGAGCAATTGCCGATTTCACGGATTATTTTTTTCTAGGAAAACGATAAAGAGAGAAGTTGGTACGGTTCAAATATATTGATTAGAATAACTCCTGAAATTTCATCGAATGCCAAAATTATTTTAGATCGGTGGAGCAGAAAGAGCTGGCGTAACATTATCCTCTCCTCCTAAAACTTTGTCTGAATAGACTAAAATTGGGTACTGGTAACAGTAAATGGATTCTCTTTTACAATTCCCAGTTGTATAAAAGTAGCAACGCACGGTTTCTGCTCCGCACCGGTAACCATGTGGATTGCAACAGACTAGTTCCTGGGCTTCGATGCCTTTAAAGATTTCTTTCACTATATTTCGGAGCACTCTCCAATCCAATAAGAGACAATTCTAGCTTTAGCATGGCTAATCTTTGCACGTTGAACTTGAAGTGTATATATATTATAATAAAATAAAAGAAAGATAATTTTTTTAGTAGTTTATTTTGAATACTTTGAAAATTATTATCGAAATCAAAAATAATTTCTGAACATCATTCAAGAGACCCTGCTAAACAAAAAAACCCTAAATATCTGTATATCTGTAAATTTTATATTAATTTAAATCATAGTCTAAAATTAATATTAAATAACTCAGGATTGATTTCTGGCTGTTTCTCTATTCCTAATAATTTTTCTTTTAGATTTTGTAAATTCAAACAATTGTTGATATATTCTATTTTTAATTTATTTAATTTTAGCAATATAATAATATAATAATATACATTTGGTTTTTCTCATTCCTAGATTATTATTTTTACTACTATTATATGGTTAAAAAAGAAAGAAAAGAAGTTTAAAAAGTGTAGGTCTTTAGGAAGCATTAGAATAGCTGGACGAAGACGTAGCACAACCTTATCTGATAATTATATGCTACAAGCGTCGCGCCGCCACACAATGAATACGATTATCACCTGAGAAAATTAAGTTCTTTGTCAATAAATGCATTACTACTTTGCTTTTATGAGTATTTTAGGCATATTCGACTGCTTATATAATAAACATGAAATATGTAAACAAAGTTTACATATTTCCACCAATGTGTGTAAATATAAATTGTCGGATACTATACATCTATTAAGGTACTAGGATATTAAATTTTTTACAAGTTTTTAAAATGATTATATTTATAATACACTTCATAGAAGTTGGTTACTACTTAATTAATATTACTACTCACATTGTACAAAATGGAACTTTCGGTATATATTTGAATTAATAAAAGTAAAAAATATATAATTTTACAAAGTATTATACCGAATCCCGCATGCTAAGAAGAACCATACCAAATTCTCATATCGTTCTCATATCGGTCCACTCCAACCTGAATGTGTACACACCGATCTCGACACGACATTTTGTTAAATGCTATTTTAACTGCATGAAACATTCAGTAATACTAAAAACGTACATTATTGGTTCGTCCTAGCTAGCGATTATTGTACAAAGGGATATATTTTTGAAATTAGTGGAATGATTGCTGGATGATCATAATGTGACATATGTCTATTTTATTACAAAATGGAATCTTTTGAATGAATTCAATGAATTCTTCATTGAAATCTATCAATGAACAAGCATGTTTTCTTAAAGGGAGGAAAAAGAGGAGTATATTTTTAACTTATTAACTATTTAGAAATTGTTTTACTAAATTTTTCTTTTGCTTTAATACATTTTTATTTCTATTTTAGAAGGAACATCTAAATTTAAAACAGCCTGTTAATTGTCTTTGTCAGACGTTTATAATACATTTATTTATAATATTTTTATAAATAAATGTTATTTGGCAACAAAATTTGTCCTATTTTCTAATGAAAATGATCGCACAAGTTTTTTGAGAAAACAGTCTTCATTTATACAAAAACTGCGTTTATTTTAACTCTTCGACTTCTGTAAATTATGTATTAAATTTGGGAGACCAGAATAAATTTGGAAAATGAGTCTTCTATATTGTAGCTTCTTTATTTCAAGTTCAAGTATAATATAATTATTACATTTTTTTTTAAATATGTGATATGACAATAAACTATAGTAATATGAAAATTTAAAGTTACCATGTTTAACTTATATGACATACAACTCGAATTTGTAGCATATTATGAAAGTAACATTTCTGTATTAAAGCTTGAGCTTTAAAGATAATTTATAGATTATAAATAGATGAAGGTTTGATTTTTATTTAGCAAGTTTCAAAACTTTAGTCTTTTAGTTTTCGCCATCGTCTTTTTTATTTTCTACGTGAGTTCCTTTTAAAATCATTTGTATCTCTTCCAAAGTTTTACCCTTTGTTTCAGGTATAAATATATAAGTAAACCCAGCGGCGATGAAGCAGCTAAACGAAAAAACGTAGAAGGGATATTGTAACCCAAAATTTTGAGTTAATCTTTGATATACTTGTAAAGATAGTAATGAAACTATAACATAAAATCCATCTGCAATTGTCATACCGAAAGCTTTCATTTTAGTGGGAAATAGTTCGGCTGTGAGCACTATGGGTACCATACCCAGACCTAATTTAAAAGTTAAAGCATAGAGCATAACGCACACAATTGGAATCCAACTATACCTGGAAGTGTCTGATCCACCATTTTTTAAACTAAAGTAAATTGCTAAAACGAGTAAACACAGCCCAGTTAACAAACTAGAGGTAATAAGTAAAGTTTTTCGACCATATTTGTCTATAGTGAGGCAAGCAACTGACGCTGCCATCACCATTATAGCTGAAAATAAAATCGCAGCCATTCGTGGCTGTATATAAATAGATCCAGCTGCGTCAAGAATAACATGAATGTTCATAAGTAAAACGCTAATACTACTAAAATGTTGAGCTGCATTTAATAAGCCCATGATAAATATAGCTCGACGGTTGCTAGGAACTATAAAGAGATCAAAGATTCTACCTCGTTCTGATTTTTGTCGATCTACTGCTACCTTAATACTTTCTAATTCTTTTTCTATATCATGACCTTTTTTTCTTAACCTTTTTAGAGACTGAAGGGCTTCGTTTAAGTCCCCTTCGTTTAAAACCCCTTATTTTTTGTTCGGCTATTTCAGCAATATACATCGGCGTAGCTACAAAAGCCATATTTCCTGCTGATCCTGCAAATGCTCTAGCAACAAATATGTATTCTACTTTAGGAGCTACAGCCGTTACTATCCAAATAATTATGGACACAAATGAAGCTAAAAGAATGGATTTTTTTCTACCAATTTTATCAACTAAATATATGGTTATCCAAAGTCCAGAAAAAGATCCAAGCATTAGGAAGTTTTCTAGCCATTCTGCCTGTGTGTTTGTAACTTTGACTGGAGAATTAGGTCCTTGAAGAATTGGTAGTACAGGTGCTGTCCATCCATATTGCATTCCATCGCTGACGGCAGTTAAAGTTCCTAAAATACAATTATTTCATTTAACGACAATATAATATAGTATAATATATTATAATATAATATAAATTTGGAAATGTTTATTATATATTAAATGTTCCTTTATTCGACCTACAATATTCAGCTTCAAGGCTCTCGTTAATAGATGAATCTTGATATACAGAACTTAAACCCTTTAAGGCATTATTGTCATGCGACAGATTAAAATCTCTTACGACTAGTATTTTTAAATTTTATTATTATATATTACGGTATGTAAGTGAGGACTTTAGCCAACCGATTGGGTTACATCCATCTTCGTACCATTCTATAAAAAGGGGCAAAAATAAAGCTACCAAGCAATAGCTCTTTTCTCAGAGCTTATGTTTTATGAGCAATGAGTGTTTTGAAATAATATATATATATATATATATATATATATATATATATACATATATATATATATATATATATATTATATATACATATATATATATATATATATATATATATATATATATATATATATATATATATAGGGTTTTTTATCGCAGGTCTCAAAGAATTAGTTTGTAAGCACTTTTTGAAATTATCTTTATTATAATTATTATGAAACACACATATATATCTACTATAGACAGTATAAATTTAAAACAAAAAATCTTTAAATTGCAATTCTTATTACAATAATTAAATGAGATTAACAAAATTTGGTACTTTTCTGTCACTGAATGTCTAAATGAAACTGTTTTCCAAAATAAAGATTTTAATCACCATTTAATATCTTCGTTATCAGCCTCGGTTATCCTTCTTTTTGTGAAATTGCTCGTTCCAAATACACCACAATGTTTTAATTATCAGCTTCCACCGTTTTAAAATCTTTTTTCTTAATAGCATTTTTAAATCTGCAAAATATTCTTCTTTCTTTATTGCGTTCTTGTTTATTCTTCTTTTTATTAATATATTTTTTCAATCTCCATTCACCATTTAACTATTATAATTTTAATTTCTTCTAATCTCCAATCACCATATAGATAATATAATTTTTATTCTCCAACTAATACTCTCTTAATAATATTTTTTAATCTCCATGTAATATACTTTCCAATACTATAAAACTTTAATACTGAATCACTTATTGCTGTACTGTATAATTAATACTCTAATGCTGACCATTGAATACTGCCTATTATCCACTGTATACTGACTTTTTTCCTCCAAATCATAGAGTATTTATATCATTTGAATGTTCACGAATATTCTTGAAAGAAAATATATTCGAATTCCTCATTTCATAGATATTTGAATGTTCGCGAATATTCTACTACGAAAATAAGGTTAAATTCTTTCTATTGACGACTTAGTTTAAAGTCCCAGATAATTCTTTACTTTTCTATCGAGAATTTTATAGAAATTTAGGCTTTTCAGATCAGAATGTAAACTTACATGTAAATTAAACATCTTAAATTAATAAATAGCACTATTTTAAATCCATAGTGATTATTCAAATGTCGACTTTCTGTTCAAATTTACTCTTATTTACAAAAATCTTAACCAAACTTACTTAACTTATTTCAGTGTATATTTGGTTGCATAGAAATATGGCACCCTTAAATATATTTATAATATCATAATTATTAAAATAACCAAATACATTCCAAATAAAAACTTTTTAAACTTATTATTATGCTAATTTCTTAAGAATACCCTCATATAAATACTTTTTATAATATTCTCTAGTATATAACTTATAAATTATTTCTTTAATCACTATTTAAGTTCATTTTAGATTACCTTCGTTTCTCCTATATTTAATATTATCTCAAAATATATATACATTATGAATTTCCTAAACCTGTTGTCCGATTTGAGTGATTTTTTTAGTATGTTATAGTTATATTATTTAAGAATATCGATGTAATAATATTGTTGCTAGACAGGTCAATGTCATTTTATACAGGGTGTAACAATCATACTGTGTTTTTCCTTAATGTTCGGAACACCATGTGGAATATGCTAGCATATACAGGGTGAGTCACGCTCAACGGGACGGAGCCTACCGGGGAAACGGCTAAAGATATTAAAAATTTCTTTTGCAGGAATACGTAGGTTAGTACCGGCTACAAATTAAAATTTGTGAGATATATACAGGGTGTCCCAATTTGGCGTAATGATATAAACTTATACTTTTTTAAATGGAACAACATATATTTCACTTTAATTTTAAATTCTACTGAACAAAATAATGTTACTTTATTCAACATTCCCTATACCTATTTTTGACCGGTTTCGATTTATTTGGGTTTTTCTGAAAATGTACTATTCGCGAAATTAATTAATTACACAATATCGCATGAATTTTAATTAACGCCTTTTTGTCAGTTAATTGTCAAGTGTCCATGCTTTACATCAGAATAATTACCATTTGAAACTAATCTACAGAGTGTTCGCAATCTGAAGTGTCAATGATGTACAGTTGCGGTCACGGAATAGTTTACACCTTACTTTTTATATTGTAATACTGTAAAATTTCAGTGTCGTACGGATTTGATAAATGTCAAAGTCAAAAAATTTCAAAACGTCAATGCTTTCGCGAGTGTTCAACAATAAAATAAAAGTATATTAAACTCTTCCAAAATGGTTAGAATACATTTGAATTATGCGCAAAAAGCAAGAGCAATTGCCAAACTCGAAGAAGGTTGGTCACTAAGGCAAGTTGCTGCTGATTTGAACGTGAGTCATATGTGCATATGGAAGATTAAACAAAGATGGGATAATTTTCACTCTATAGCACGGTTGGGCGGTTCAGGAGGGCAGAAGATTTCCACAGATCAACAGGATGAGATGTTAGTAGATTATTTGAGAGAATCTCCTTTTGCCACAGCTCAAAAGGCAAGAGAAGAGGCAGCGTTTCCAGGCAGTATTCGCACTGCACGTCGAAGAATTAAAGCAAGTGGACTGCTAAATTGTGTAGCTGCACGGAAACCTTTTTTGACTGAGGATCACAAGAGGAGACGAGTTGAATTTTGTAATGAATTTATAAACCGCGATGAGAATTTTTGGTCTAGGGTTGTATTTTCCGATGAAAAAGTATTTCAGTCGTATAATAATGGTCGAATAAGAGTTTATAGGCCGAGAAATCATAGGTATGATGAACAGTATACGCATCATTTAAGAAATAGTGGAGGATTCTCTGTCAACGTATGGGGATGGATAAGTGCCGAAGGCCCGGGCGTTTGTTATCATGTAGAGGAGAAGTTAACAGGATTATATTACAAACATATTATTGAGCACACAATGTTGCCATCGGTGATCCAGAGATTCCCCAACAACGACTTTATCTTCCAACATGACAATTGCCCGGTGCATACGAGTAGAATTGTTCGAGAATGGCTAGAAGAAACTGATGTTAATGTTCTTCCGTGGCCTTCCCGTAGTGCAGACTTTAACCCCGTCGAAAATGTGTGGGCAGAGTTAACAAAGAAACTAAATGAAAGAAACCTTAGACCACGGAATAGAATTGAATTATGGGAAGCAATTGAGCAGGCATGGGAAGAGCTTGTTAACTATAACATGAGGGGATTGGTGCTATCTATGAACAGAAGACTGCAAAATTGTATTGACAAGAATGGGGCTTCCACCAAATATTAATTATTATTTATCATTGTTTATCGTTATTTAATATAAAATAGATTTAAAATAAAATGCATATTAAAAAAAAAGACTTCTTTATTTTCGTTATTAAGATCATAATCCATTTTATTCAAAAAACTGTTTTCTATATTTTTCATTTTGTAAAATATTTTGATATTTTAATTTTAATCTACCTATTCTAGCTAGTACACCACTGGCAACGTCACTTTGACGTAAAAGGTGCGTTTAAACGAAGTAAAAATTTAAAAAATGGGCTCCTAGATACGTGAACCTGTAAACTATTCCGTGACCGCAACTGTACCATATTTTGTAAAATTACTTTCTTTAACTTAAATGGGACACCCTGTATTTTACTTTAATTTTGAATTCTAATTAAAAAAATATTATTTTTTTTATTAAACAATCCCTATACCTATCTTTGAGAATTTTCGATTTATTTGCGTTTTTTTGAAAATGCACTATGTATTCTTGAAATTAATTAATTCCTTTAATCACTTTATTACATAAAGTTCTACTCTAACTTAAACAAAAACCCTGTATTTGAATGTTGTAACGATTATTATAATCAAACTTCCACGAGGAAACTAAGTTCCTGTAGCTGGCTGTATACCATATATCACAAAAAAGTTTTGTTTAAAATCCATTATAAAAGGTATATAAAAATGCCCCAAACGGGCTATCACAAACACATTGCAAAACGTTTTCGGATTAAACAATCCATCATCAGTGCAAACCTGAAAGTATATAACCACTTTAACACTTTAACCAAAGTAGTTATATACTTTCAGGTTTGCACTGATGATGGATTGTTTAATCCGAAAACGTTTTGCAATGTGTTGTGATAGTCCGTTTGGGGCATTTTTATATACCTTTTATAAAGGATTTTAAACAAAATAATCAAACTATCATAAAATTTTATATTAATATCTAGTATCTTCAAATCTATTTGCATTATGTTACCTGGAACATTAAATGTCATTAATTACATAGCTCGTTATTATAAAGAATGCCATGAAACAAAAGGTACTGATAACTGGTAACTAGCTGTCAAACTTTTTTATGACAATGTTTTTGATTTCTGTCAATATCCCGATGTCATATGTAACAAGGTTATATTTACATCTGCACCTCATGGAAGTTGGAAGGAATCTTTTTAAGAACGAAAATCAGCAGGGAAATGAAGTCTGTTCTCAAGTGTAGGTAGGTCATCTGTGTATGTTATGATAAGTTCCCTACATTATCCAATCTGTTACATCTTGTCAAGTCCTGCTGAAGCAGAAAAGAATAAATACAACTTAAGTTTTAAGTCGGAGATGCCACACTGGACAGAGTAAAGAAACTTGTGTATCTCAGCAGTAATATCAATGAGA